GGGGCGGGCGCCGGGGGGAGCCCCCCGCCCAGGCCTGGTGCTCGCCGGAGGAGGCCGAGCGACACGAGTTTGCCGGTCTCAGCCCCACGACTAAGGGCTCTGCAAGCGGTGTTTGGTCCTTGCTCTTTGCACACGAGCATAGGGGGGCGTTTTGTCCCCTCCGCTCCTAAATTCAGTCTAAATTTGGCCCCCTCCAGCCTGCCATGGGCAAGAGACGCTGCCCTTGGATTCGCACCTGGCGTGGGGAAACATCCCATCTCCCACTCCGGGGTCGCCCTGGCATCAGCCCCCCCCTTCATGTGGCACTGGGGGGGCTGTGGCACCCCCTTAGCACCCCAAGGTGCCCCACAACCTCCCTGCGTGGGCAGGCAGCCCCACATTTCAGGTGGGACCGCAAGCAGAAGACAGGACCAGGCCTGGCGGGGGGGTTCTCTTCCTCGTCTTCCTCTTCCTCCTCCGCCCCGTCCTCCCTCCGCTCCGCGTGCATGCTGCATTCACCCCATCCTGCACTGCTCCCTCCGTGCCCCCCCTTGCAGAGTATAACGATGGGTTGTGCCATCTGCTAACCCACGCGTGCCCCGCTATGAAGCCCCAGACCCTGGGATTAGCTAAGGACGCCTGGGAGATAGCGCGCGAGTCCATCAGCCTCGACACGAAACTCGGCATGGGATGTTTCGGAGACGTGTGGAAGGGTAAGGCTGGCCGGGTGGGCACGGAGCGCTCTGGCTCTCCTTGGCCAGCGGCATCGCGGGGTGCCGGGGGGAGACGGCAGCCTGGCACAGGCTGCCCTGGGGAGGGATGGGGACCAGGGTAAGGATGGTAACAGGCGATGAGCCCACGGGTGCCTAGTGCCCATGCTATGGGGTGAGGGGGCCCTGTCCTGGGGTGGGTATGGTGGTATCATCCCCCTTTCCTGCCCTGCCCTGATTGCCTTGCTCCTCCATCCATGCATCCCTCCGTGCAAGCATGCAGCATCCATGCATCGTCCTCCCATGCATCCCTCCATCCATATGTCCATGCATCCCTCCATCCATGCATCCCTCCATCCATGTGTCCATGCATCCCTCCATCCATGCCTCCCTCCATCCCAGCCCTGCCAGGACCAGGCGGGCTGGGTGGCCCTTGGGCTCGGCGTGACCCCGTGTCCCCTGGCCCAGGTACGTGGAACGGCACCACCAAGGTGGCGGTGAAGACGCTGAAGCCGGGCACCATGTCGCCCGAGGCCTTCCTGGAGGAGGCTCAGATCATGAAGCGGCTGCGGCACGACAAGCTGGTGCAGCTGTACGCCGTGGTGTCGGAGGAGCCCATCTACATCGTCACCGAGTTCATGAGCCAGGGTGAGCGGGGGGCATGGCCCGGGGGGTGCCGACCGGGGCCGGCTCCCC